AGCCGACCCGGAGTTTTGTCGGAAAAATATTTTCCTCGCCCCAAAACCGGGAGGAAGGGGACTACGGGAAGAGCCGGCCTCGAAAAGGGAAATTCTGGCGAAAAATCGAGATACGATTCCACGCGAGCCTCCAAAAATGGACGGTATGAACGGAATGCAAGCAAGTAGATACCCCTAACGATCGAAAGTTGCATCGCGTAATGGGCGTTTTTATCTTGATGAAATTCCCATGTCTCTCGGTTTTCAGGTGCTTTTACTTCTTGACTCATCATGAGTTGGCCATTTTTTTTTGCAGGATAACTCCTATGGGTAATGGCGCTCTCGGTCGGAGGAGGGGGGGACGTACTTCCGGGTAAAAATCCTTTTCTTGTCGCTAGCTTTAATATTTTAACAATGCCGGGCGAAGTCAATGCACGGCCCGCACGAATTGTCTGCACCTGATGACCACTTCCTGTAATATAGGGGTAAATTTCAGGTGCGGATACGCGGCCATAGCGGAGCAATTTTCCTGGATTATTTACAGGGTGCGTAATTTATGGAACATAAAACGAGAGACTCTTGGGGGTGCGGGAAGAGAGGGATGGAGAGCCAGCCCGGGCTAGAATTTTCCGGATTTTCTTATTACGGCCAATGGTAATAATCCGGAACCCCCTTAAAGCTTCGGGCATTGTTTCAATGGCGTCGTGGGGCGAGTTTGGAGACCCTTTCGTTTTGTGTCTACTCCTTAATCCCCGGCCCGCTTCTATAAAGTCACGCGTCCACCGCCCCGCTGCCCTCTGTCACTTTTCTTGGTATTAGATAATGATGCTCTCGACTATTCCGTATTTGGATTTATGGCGGCCGGGTACCTGGTCCTCGATTTTCCTGGGAAAAAATTTTCAACATGACTGCCGGCCGCGATGGCGAATTAATCCTTCGGAGAAACACGCACGGGGTGAGGCGGCTTAACATTTTGGGGACTTTCCTATTGTTGAATGTTCAAAAACAAAATGTTCAAAAGATGTTAAGGTGATACGAAAGGGTCATTCTATATATATCTTTTCATTCATATATATATATATGAAACGTTAAAATAATTATTCAATTTTCCTCCAAACTGGGTGCATCATTTGAAACTTCAGCACGTGATTATGAAGGCCCTAAGGAAGTGCGTGGTGCTCATGAAATTTAATGAAAAAAAATATTTATTAACAATGAAATTTCATCAGCACCATTATGGCGACTGGGAACATATACAGTACATTACATATAGTACCGGCACATTTTTTTTTAAATGAAATTTCATTAAAAAAAAATGTACTGTTGGCAAAAAGAACTTGTATTAAAAATGGAATTTTATGGGCACCACGTTCTTCTTTAGGGCCTCCATAATTATATGTTGAGGCTGCAAATGATTTGGTGCTCCTAGTTTGGAGGAAAGTTTTATAAATATTTTGACATTTAATATATATAGAATGACCCTTTGACATCATCTTAATACCTCCTGCACAATATTTACAGTTAAGAAAATAATCCTGCAAACGGATTATGCATTTTTTCCCGTCGATATTCTTGGAAATATTATTTAAGCATGGCGACGTTGAACACAATTATTAACAAGCATTTGGTGGTTTTTATGTTAACGGAGATTTGTATAAGGAACGGTTTTAGATAAATGTTGGGACAGTTAGGAAGGGAAGGTAAAGGTAGGTGAGAAAATTGCGTTTTGCTTGGGCCAAATGGTTTTACGGTGTCATTCGGGTCGCACGGTTGTGCAAGGAACGTAAAGGGATGAAAAGAGAGGAAGAGCGACTTTCTCCACCGTTAACCCCGTTACCAGCCAATAACAGTACCCCGTCCACTGAAGTGTCCTCCATAAAAACTGGCCTATAAATTTTCAGAAAATCTGCCCTCGAATTCGCGCGACTTCCACGCCTGGACATCGGAGTCTGCAGCGGCGGCCATTTTGCGGAGCCATTAGCAAAATGATGAATTTTTTTTCCCAAACGCACCGAAATTAGGGAACCATTACCAACCTTTGTCTTATCTAGGCAAAACAAAGGGACGTAAACGTTTCTTTCTTAATCACTGAAAAGTAATTTCGAGTTAAGCAGGGCCATTAACCAAGAGACTTTGCGATGACTCAGAAAGAAAACAGCGAAAGGATTGTATCCAGGGAATCTTGGTTTCGATAATTTAAGAGATACGCTAAGAGATTATTTGAAAATTAACGCTGGAAATACCGAAGTAACAAAATCACGCCGTGGTTCGAAATTTCTAAGACACCAATTCGAATTTTGGAATTTCTTGATAGACGCGCCATAAAAGTTACCGCGTCCATGATCTAAATCATACGGTGTACCTGTTGGTGTAAACTCTTTAATCCTCAGTGCGTTTGTGGTTTCCCGGCCATTGCCACAATACCGAAGTCCAATTATACCTGCCCGCGATTCTAGGGAAGGTGCGACTGTAAAATCATTTTATTTGCCCTTCCAGGAACGCCCATTTTCCTTTACAGCAAAGAGTTAACTTAGTTTCGGCAAAATTTCTTGGCTGGGAAAAATTCATGACTTGTTGAAGAGGACGCGAAGTTACCATGGCGGCCATTTTGGAAAATGATGAATCGGCGTCGGTCAGTCGCGGTTGGAATATTTATTATCAAATTTATTATCAGACAGTTGAACACCGATTCTTCCTGCACCGTTAAAAAAAATATTATAATCTTATAATATTTTCGCTGAAACTTTTATTCAGGCATGGTACACAAAGTTTATAATACACTCGCAATAAATTTATAAAATGTGTTATAAGTTCAGTACATAAGTGTATTAATCTTCCCGGGGGATTTCACAAAGTTATAACTTGATGTCGTCAAATTATAAGTTTATTTAGATATTTATAATAAATATATACCAATTCACTTTTAGGATACCAGGAAACTCGGTAGAGTTTCACGCCAAAGATATTTAAAAGCCTTTGCGAACCACCTGCGCACCAAATACTTAACGCTGAAATTCGGCATAAAATGTATACTTCTACCTTATGTACTAAAAGTGCATGAATATAATGAATATTTCTAAAAGGGTTAAAAATCTGTCCGAAACTTTCTACTGGATTGTTTCCCATGGTGAATATTCTGTAAAAGAATCGACAATGGCACTGTTATACAATTTTTCCGAATTTTGAGTCATGCGGTCCGGGTTTTTCGGGACGTGCCGGAAGGGGCGTCGAGGGGCCAATTGCATTATTTATTGTAGCAGTGCCTCAACTCGTGCATACTTGTCGTCATATTTACGACATAACCGAGAACGGTAAGCACGGCCAGGGGGCGGCACCTCCATAAAGCGTGCCGCCATTGAAAAGGGGTTCTGCGTAAAGTATGACGCCTGTACTAGATTCACCTAGGTTCGGAAAGGTGAAAAGCGGGTGTCCGACTAGAAAGAAATATGCAAGAAACAGTTACCTTCTCTTCTCTCTCTCTCTTGTTTTTCCGAAGTCCCGCCCTCTCCCTCTTCGGGCGAAGCTAACTGTAAAGGGGCTCCATAAACGGGGAAAATCGCTGGAGGAGCAGCCTTTGGAAAAAGCGATTAGAGGCGAAAGGGTTAAGGGAGATTTTTTGACGAAGAACTGTCCTTCCCTTTTTTCCTTCCCTCGCCCCCACCGCGTTGAGGAAAGAAAGGGTTGAATCGCCGAAAGGGAGGTTTTACGAGGGCGAAGAATGGCCTTCGAGCAGACCTTCCGAAAGATGCAAATGCGAAAGGAGAAATCTCGAAAGGGGTGGGAACGGGTTTTCGAAAGTGAGCATTTTGGAGGGTTTCGCCCCCCTCGTGGTGGAGACCTTCGAAGTTTGCCGAAAATTTCGGTCCTCCGAGGAAATTGCGGATGATGGGTGTCATGGGGTAGAAATATGGGATTTCGATGGAAGTGTTTTCGAAAATTATTAGACGGCAGATCGAGGGGAGGAGGGAAGGCAGCCATTGTGGAAAATGGTGAGGATGAATCGACGGGGGTGGATTCGATTTTTGGGAGTGGCCAGTGTTGGGGTCCAGATCTGCCTTGAAAACGAGAAACGACTGATAAGAGGGGCCAGGAACAAAGGGGGACTATTTGGGAGGACTTCCCTGCGTCGGAAAAATCTCTGAAAAAAGAAATAGGGGCGAACGTAGGCGTTCGTGCACTGTGGGCTTTCTGGGGCTGAAAGAACCCTCGGCTCGGAAGCCCTCTCCCCCATGGGGTGAATTGATACAGTCGTTTTTCCAAATGCGGAAAGATTCGGCTCAAGACGAGAAAATCACAAACCGAGAAAGAAAAATTCCGGAAAAAAATCAACGAATCCTAACATCGAAAAACATTTCCTACAAAAGTTACTCCACTCGTCGCCCCTGACAGTGTCCATTTACAGAATTTTTTCAAATCTTACATCCCTGAACTAAAAACCTAACATTTATTGCAATCCGTTCCCCTTACTTCTGGACGCTATCTCGAAATCTTCGATTTTCCGCCTTCACGGTACTCGACGTGGAAAAACAGTTCCCACGAAAGTTGTTCCGCAGACCATAACGAATAAATGTTGTTCGGGTGAATTTTTCATATTTTCGGTCCTTTTACCAGAAATCGCCCATTTTTGTGCTTCCTCGTTTTCGCTCGCGCGCGATGGAGCCATCTTGAAAGGGTTAAAAAGGAGTCATAGACCGCAGTAACTCATCCCAACCCAGTCAAGGGTGCGAAGAAAGGTTCATCGGAAAAAGTCATCATCTCCCACCTCTTATTCCCATGGAAAATCCGTGGAGGGAACGGAACTAGGAACCGCTAAAGCCGTCCGAGGGTCCCTCGGTCTCGGCCAGGGGAGTGTCCGAAAGGCCGGGTGGGGATAGACCGGTTGCCAAAAACATCTACGAATTCTGTCAATTGTCGGCTGCCGATTGGGCAGTGGCTAGACCCTGGTAGAGAGGGTAGCTGCCCCTTCGCAAATCCACAAATAAGCCGGTATTCCACTTTGGGACTTAGGAGTTGCTTGTCAGTCGACCTCGGGCGTTCAGCGACCGGGGCTCACCTCTTCCGCCTTAAGATTTTAACTTAGGAATAAAGGAGTAACTAGGTCTAGAGAGCATCTTCAGTGACTTAACCCGCGAGTGTACATGCGCGAATTAAAGAAAAGAAGGAGACAAAATTCGCCTCGACGAGTGTGCCCATCAGTGACTCCTTGATCCAATTTTTTAGGATTTTTATCCGGATTTTCCGAGGATCTGGAAAATCTTTTACCGCGATCGCCTTCGAGAGGAAGTTAAGCAGAAGGTTAGTATCCACCAATTTACAAAATATTTTTAATTTACTAAGCTGGTGCGTTTATTTATCAGATTCGGGCGGGCTGTTCGTTAAAGTCGTTCAGAAAATTCTGCATCAATTTATGCATCGACCTGATATTCATAACTTATTGATACCACTTGTAACAAGCAGATGGCTTTTAGTCGACGAGAGTTTGGGTTTTAACATAATTTTTATAGTATCTAATAAATGGTATGTAATAATTAGTCAATCGGAGAACGGCGATTTAATTACGTCGCTGGGTGAATAACCAGTTAATGAGAAGTAAAGCCTAGTTTTTGAATGAATCTTGTTTCCCTATTTCGAAATTGATCCAAACGGTTGGACACAACGGCAGAAATCGGCCTCGCTCAAATTTGCCAGTTTTGAGTTTTTGTCCACATTCCAGGAAGCCTCCGAAGAGCTCCTCACAAAAGTTCATTCGTTAGCGATACTTTGAGGCTTTTTTTTTCCCTTGATATTTACTACTGTGCTCGGCAGGAATTTTCGAAATGAGGACTGCCAGCCGGATCTTTGTATCGGTCAAGGATAAGCAAGGTTAATTTGAAGTTTTACATATCGAGGTGTTAATATTTTCCTTTGCGCACTTTTTTACGTTTGGGTATTTATTATAATTTATGTTAATTACCCCAATCTCTCGGGGTAATTTATTTAAAGTCCCCACGTGAATGAAACGTACGCAATTGATTTAATTATTGTAAATATGCTCGGTAGATTTACTCTTGAAATTGGTAAATTTTTAATGTTATTTATGTAAGGGCGGGAGCGCCATTTGTTTGCGGTTAATTTAGACTTTATCAGGGGGCAGCCTTTTCCGGGATTGTTGTCTAAGCTTTGGAAGTTAAATCAACTTTGGTTGTTACTCACTCGAAATATCGATAAGGATAACGCGTTCTCTCCGCAGATAGAAGAATTTTCTGAAAAAGTCGAGTAGCCTGACTAATCGATAACGCGGAATTCTTTCTCCGCGATTCCGAAGCAAACCTTGACCCGACGGTTTGTTTGTATGTTAACAAAGCGTCGGAATGCGAGCCCTTTGCTTGAATCTCGTTTCCGAATTATTCGAGGTCGAACGCAGGAATTCGAGGTATTTAGATTGCGGAAAAACCGTGCTTTTACATTCCAAGGCACGCCGTACTTCGTCAGTACTTAGATTTCATTCAAAGCGTAATAACACGGAATGAAGATTTTGGAAATCGGGGGGTAAAAGAGGCGGACTAGAGCTGATAAACAAATTAAGCAAATGAAGTAATTTAAATAATTGACATTGAGCAAGTCGCCAAGGGACTGTAATGGCTGTCAGCGTTTGCAAGTTGACAAATTTGCAAAAACGTCGAGCTTTCACGGTCCCTTAAGGGTTATCCTCCGTTTTGCATCGGATTTACCCGTTTGCCTTTCGAGGCGTCTTTGGGGACCGGGTTTCGGAAAATAATTTACGACCTCGGGTCCTCTTTCCTCGAGGTCGACAATGAGGATTCGCAAAAGTCAAAGGCTGAAGCCTAATTTCAAGAGAGCTGGCCCGAAATATACGGCGAGGTCTCGGCATTGCTCTACTTGAATAAATCAACCCCACGGTTGGGTAAACGGACGGGACGCAAAATGGGCCCGAGGCCTCGGAAAAAGGAGACTACTAGGAAAGCTTGAGCCTTTTTCACTGGCCACCCTTTTTCGAGGAATTCGCCCACAATTGGGTCTTTTTACCCCACGCCGCGCCAAATCCGATCTCTCGTGGTCGAAGGATTTAACCATGAACCCTGCGACGCACTTCTAAAGTCCTTAAACAAATTTTCAATGCTTAAACAATTTCGCAACCGAAATCTGAGAGAGCGACAAGTCAGAGTTTCAAGCTGTAAACATTTATTTGCGATACATATACTGCCATTACGCGCGATCTTAACCTAGAAACCACAAGCTTTACAATATTTCTTTCTCTTCGGTCGATGGTTCTCATTTATTCCGTGGTAGACCTAAAATAATAAGTATAACGGCTTAACCTAAATCTCACCTCAGGCCATGGTCTGGTAACGCGGCTCTGTACCTGAAAAAAAAGCACCTTTAACGTGGAATCTTTTTTTTTTTAGCGGGAAAATGAGAGGAAATTGGGATACGCCGCAGCAGACCATTGCTGAAGAGCAACATCCCCCCCATTCGCCAAGCACACCCGTCTGGGGTATCGTGGATAGAATCGTGGTGAGTAATCGCCGCCCCGATGCACCCCTCCGTACCAAAATCTCTCTCTTTCGCTCTCTCGTTTCTCCCCTCGGAAATGGCAAGCAAGATGGCGGCCGATGGCCGCTTCTGCGAGACCATGTGACCCGGCGCCACTGTAGCGTAGAGATGCGACGAATCGAACGTTTCAACTCGTTAAACTCAATTAAAGCAAGTATCCGAGTCAACTCGAGTTGTTTTAATTGTAACTGACATCATTACTCGAGTCGAAGCTGAAAAAGGCAAGGTTTTCGAATTCGAAAAACTCGAGCTACCTATTTATTCGAAATTTATTGGAAATTTATTGGAAATTTATTAGAAATTTATTACAAATTTATTAGAAATTTATTGGAAATTTATTCGACTCGTCCCATCGCTACTGCAGCGATATACGCGCAGCATTGGAGGCCCTCGCAGAGTGGCGGGGTTTAATTAAATTTGAAAATAGGCTAATGGATAAACTATATCAATGGAATGTTTTCAGAAAGAGGAGCCAGTGGAGGACAAGAACGACGACTCGGGGGTCTCCCCCGGGCATTACACGAGCAATTCGGCATCGCCCAGAAGCAGGCGTTCATCTTCGACGGCGAATTGCAGTCTCTCCCCAGGAAGTGCGACCTCCCAGGACTCAAATGCCATGCAGTGTGGGACATTCCAGTACAGTCCTCAGCGGCTCTTCAAGTCTTGCTCGCCATTAGACTTTGCTCGTGCCATCCACAACATGGACGAGGTTGGCCACGAGTCGGCGATGGATATGGTCTCCAGCTCCATGAAGAGCTCCACAGGAGAAACGGAGATCCCTCAGGATACTCTTCGGTGCCCCGTCTGCGCGTACACCACCTTGAACAGGTAAGTGGGAGTCAGAGTACCGAAAAATTACCATCCATAAGCCAGGTTAAGATCGGATAAAAAAAAATCACGAAATGTCCATTCTTCAGGGTGGAGTTCACGGAGCACCTGGCGGCGCACTGCACGCCGAAGAGGGAGACCCCGGACTTCGCAAAATCCGTTCGCACCCTGGACGACAACAGCAGGTCTTCGCCGATTCAGTGCGACAGATCCGAGCACGAATCCGAGGAAGCCGACGAGCCTGGAGTTCGCGTCCCCAGGGTGAACTCTCAGGGGAAGGTGAAGACGTTCAAGTGCAAGCAGTGCAGCTTCTCGGCGATCACGAAGCTCGAGTTCTGGGAGCACAGCAGGTGCCACATTAAGGCCGAGAAGTTGCTCACCTGCCCCAAGTGCCCCTTCGTAACCGAGTACAAGCACCACATGGAGTACCACTTGCGCAACCACTACGGCTCCAAGCCGTTCAAGTGCGACAAGTGCTCGTACTCGTGCGTCAACAAGTCGATGCTGAACAGTCACCTGAAGTCACACTCGAACGTGTATCAGTACAGGTGCGCCAACTGTTCGTACGCGACGAAATACTGCCACTCGTTGAAGCTTCATCTCAGGAAGTATTCCCACAAGCCGGCGATGGTACTGAACGCGGACGGTTCGCCGAACCCCTTGCCAATAATCGATGTTTATGGGACCAGGCGAGGCCCAAAGCCAAAACCCATGAACAAGAACGGAGAAGTTGGGACCACCAACACTGGATTGCAGTCGCCGGTTCATATGACCCAGGCTACTAATCAAGGATGGTAAGGGTCTTCATGGTTCATCTTGTAGTTAGGTTTAGGTTCCAGTGGATGAAGACTAATCGAGTTTTCGCATTTCAGTCCTACGGCTAACCAGGTGCTAACACCCCATCAGCTCTCTCCGATGGGGTACCACCTGAGCGTGATGAACCCCATGCAGCACCTGAACGGGATTCAGAGCCCTAGCAACGTGATCGGGTTCCCTTGTAACCAGATTTTCGGGGGTTTCGCGTTCGCCAACCATTTCGGTCTCCCCGACGACTCGAACGAGGCTCAGCTGGACCAGCTGAAGACGAACGTCTTCGTGGAGTACGTGAAGACCCTGGCGGAGAAGAGGATCCCTCAGGTGCGGTTCCTTCTAGTCGTTTTCCTACGTTCCATCCCTTCTTACAGGAATTAACTTTTGACTTTCTTCTTCAGGAGGTTCCTCAGGATACCCAGCAGCAGCTCTCGCCAGGGGCGTATAACATCAACGGGCTGAACGACGGCATCAAAATGGCGAATACTACCGAGATGATGCCATCCAAAGTGGTGACCGGCAATGCCTCCTCGACGACGCTGGAGTCGGAGTCTTCTACGGGGTCAAAGGTTACCCCTCTTGATCTGAGCAAGCCGGAGACGCCGATTACTCAATCCACGACGAATTCTCCCAGAGCTACCGGGACCAGAAGGCGCAAAGGCAGGGCTTTCAAGCTGGACCATCGCGTCCTTGAGCTCGACACAGATGAGGAGGACGAGTCGGAAAACACCTTCGAACCTCCCCTCGATTCTCCAGGGCCCAAGGACCTCGCTGAAAGACCAGCTGTAGATCCCGAGGTGAGCTTTCAGACCTCCTCCAATCCCTGGGAACTTGATAGGAACGTGCGTTAATCTAAATCTATCTAATTTAATATAAATAATCTAATTTACCTTCTTAATTTTCAGCAAAGTAACGAGTTCACCTGCCAGTACTGCGAGATCTCCTTCGGCAACGTCGTCATGTACACGGTTCACATGGGTTATCATGGATACAAGAACCCCTACACCTGCAACATGTGTGGCCACGAGTGCACCGATAAGGTGTCCTTCTTCTTGCACATCGCTCGGTCGAAGCACTCGTAGATGGATTGGCGATGCTGGAAAATAATAGACGGGAGTTTAGATTATTCATTATATTTCATTTCCCACGTTGGCAGGGTCGCAATGTTAATAATCGTACGAAGTCGGTGACGTGTAGTAATCAGGCGTTGTTAATATTGCGAGGCTCTTGACGAGGCCGCTCGAATTAAGACTCAAACTCGTCGGAGTTGCAGCCGAAACAAAATGGCGGACGCTCTCGGCACAAGCGAAGACGCGTTTCGGGCGATTTTATCGGCAAGCGCAAACAGGGTATATCCGCATTTTTGTAGGTTCCTTTATTACTTTTTTTTTTCTCTATTATTTCATTTTCGAGGTTTCGCCTCCCTTTTCTTTTCCGTTTTCCGACCGAATTGCTCGACGAGAGTCTTGCGATTCGGAGAGGCGTGTCCGTCGAGCGGCGTCTTTGAATCTGGGGAAACATCGGCTGAGATTTTGTATCTACGTGTATATCGATTTGTAAAATGTTAATTTAGTCCGAGGGGCATGCAGCGAAGGTCGAAGGTCGTTCATCGGGACTCCTGGTTTATCAATCTCAGGTCTTTTATTTCCTTTTAAGGATCCCCCGCGGTTACCGGTCACTTCACGGTGTTTTGAGCATAAAATAATTACGCAACAGCCACGGGATTATTTATGACGGATTTACAGTGAAACTACTTTTTCTTTTTTAACACTTTACGTTTTCATTTCTCTCTTTTTTTTTCTTTTTAACATTTTATTCAGTTTTCGAAAACGGACACAGTGAAGTGACCCAGAGATGACGAGGGTGATTTTTTTTTTTCTATCTAGCTTCGATTCGAGGCGAATTTTCAACGAGGTTTAGAGATCACGACCTCGACCTTTGACATCGCTGTCCCCAAATTCGGAGCAAATTTAAGGGCTCGCGAAATTAAGTCAGTCGCCATCTTCCTTTTGTAAGATATATACATACACATATATATGAATATATAACTCGCGTCTTAGGTACGTAGGACTAAATAGGAGAAAGCAGAGAGAATCAGATTAGAACGAGGAAGGGAACAAGATTTTCTTTACTGCGGTTATTTCCCCCACCCTTTTTAGACGTTCTTCTTTTTTTTCATTTTTTTCCCCTTCTTAATATGAAATCTCTGCGTTCTAGTCATTACACCGGGCGGACACTATGAGTGTCGAATATAGCTCAGGGTGCAATTTAAGAATAATATTGATCACCGCCGAATATGTACGCGCTCGAAATCGCAGGAACGTCGGACCTGCTTTTTCGAAATCCAGAAATTCGGGAAAACGATCGTCGAGCCGTGCCTCCCGATGTGCCGCGTTTTACGAAATTTTACGTCCTCGTTTAACAGGCTTTTACGACCGAGACAATCGTGTCGAGGAGGTGGCGAGACGTCGCGTTTTCTTTTTTTTTTCGACCATTAACCTAGGGTGTACATAATTTGTATACATATATATATAGGCATATATATATAAACGCGTCTATAGATATATTTTTCCAAAGGCAGAAATTTATTCTAGTGAGCCAAATACGGAGCCAAAAGAGGGTCGATGAGCACGACCGAAGACTGGTTAGCAGAAGTCTGCATACGTTTTACATGTTTTCCTATTTTCTTTATCTTTTCATACTCGCAAAGGAATTTCCCTCGAGCAGTCAAAAAGTTCCCTTTTTTGTTGATGATTTAATTGCGCGGTATAGCGACATTGACTCCTCTTTTCTTTTATTTTTTTTTTCTTTTTAAGTACCGTTCCCTTGACTGACAAAGTCTTGATTTTCAACTGACCATTTTCTTTCTTTCACGGTTTTGAGCACTTTTCGCGCGATTTTGGTAACTGGTTCTTATTTCGGGATTTTCACACGAGACGAAGCTGTGGGCTCGACGATTAAGTCGAAGGATGACAATGGATAGACAGGGATTTTTTGTCGGAAGGTTTGATAAGCGATTCTCCGAGGACTCTCGTCGCGTTAGAGTATTGCGATTAGTGTATATCGATACGAACTTCGTCTAAGATCGGACATTCCTCGGTTATGCGTAACCTAAAGAATAAATAAGTTATTTATCTATGGGGAGTGGCCTTTCGTATCTTAAGATTTCCCACCCTAGATAGAAGGATCGACGAGTGATTCCAACCACCTTCCGACAGTCATTGTCACCGACATATGATGTATTATTGCGATCACGAGCATCCTCGTTCCATCGGAAAGAACTTCACCCCCAAGGATGCCTTCGTGTCGCACGTGATCGGTTCTCGGCGAGGAATCATTGTTGCGACCAACAAAGAAGTCAACAAGCCGTTCACATCGAGTCTTATTTTCTTAAATGAAAACTGTTAACAAAAGATTAAATTGGAGTTATCTGGCATTTTTACATTTCTTGCAGAAGTCGCCAGTACGCGAAGAGGGTTTACCAACGCGTAACAACGAGCAAATACTATTTAGACCAGCAAAGACAACAAAGTCCCTCGGCAATCTTAATCGAGAGTATGCCTGACAATGGGACCGAATTGCACAATCATCAAGGCTGCCGCAATCGATACGGAATAACAGGTGTCATCCTTGCATATCGACACGTTCGCTCCTCTTAATTGGCAACGTAAAGCAAGACGTGCTAGAGGTACACACGAGTACGAGTGCACAGCTCGAAGGTGTATTGCGCAACCCAGAAGAAACCATCCGCGACGTCGTATCACGAGGATCTCGCCAGATAATGAGGTACATCCGCGACAATGCTCGAGCATTACGGTTTCTTATTTCAGCTCGCCTCCAAACCGAAGATTGGAGACGCAATGAGTCCCGCTTCCATTTCTTCGATCTCGATGCTCATGATGATGAAATGAACGATGAAACTCCGAGTCCGTCGACGTCGCGCAGAAAGCCGCCATCTTGTTCCAAGTTGCGACACGCGTCGTATTCAAATTCACTCTCCGTTGTCCAGGATTCATTGTCGATTCATTGCGAGATCTCGTCGCATTCCTCTGAGGATCGTTCCCTCGACGCGTGTCTGAAAAACAATTCCCCATGAAGTTCTAATTCCAGCGAATTATCGCGCCAGAAGATGCGAGAAACCGAGGGTACTGAGATCAACATTCGACGCCTGAGCCACAACCGCTTTAGTCATAATTAAGGTCGATTAATATATACATACATAAACGATCCTAGATAAATTAGGCTAATTATTAGGACGAGTACATGTTGTGTCCGGGCACCCGGTATAAATTTCTTCTCCAACCGTCTTTTATGTGTTTCTTGGCAACCGTTAAGAGACGACGAACAACGGCGAGTTTCATGTCGGCGGTCTCGGTGTGACGACGTATCCCGAAGAGCTCTTTTCTATACTACGTTGTCTAGTAATTTCTGACAATAATAGGATTACATTACGTTACTCCTTTCGAGTTTACCAGCCACTGATCGACGCTTTATCGACCGTCGAAGTGCCAGTTTCAACCGGTAAGGCGATTCAAGATGGCGCCTGTTCCCGCGCTACCCGGCATGCACTGCGCACGGCGGGAAGCCGCCCCGCAGGGGTCTGGAACAGCCTTGAAAAGTCGAGTCTTAAGCCCGGCCTAAGCCGAGAAGAGTCCCCTAGCGTCGTTCCAACGTACTCGAGGATACGTTTATAAAGTGGACCCACGCAAACACGAGTTCGCATACCGCGTCGTGCCGCTTGGGAGCTGTCGGGAAGCGTAACCGGGCCGGGCCCAATTGACGCGCCGCGACCAGTGCGACTGTGGTCCGATAGCGACGCCGAGGTGTGTTCGTCGCGACGCGACGGCGATTATACGGGCTCTCGCAGCAAATGGTCGCCAGTGTTTACGCCGCTGCGTGCCCATGGCGACCGGGCTGCGACCGAGGGACTAATTTCACGTCCCTTTACCGCCGTCGGAAGGGAGCCGACTTACCGACGTCGAGTCTCGAGCGCGCCTCACCGGGAGCGACACCTTGAGGTAACAATGATTTCCTTCTTTTTTTTTTCTCGCCAAGATAACAAGGGATATAATCATTCGACCCTGTCCCGGGACACAGAATTGACCGTGAAATTGACCCAGAATTACTCGCGTGGAAAGTTAATTGACCGCGTGGCTTGACATCCTCCCAATTATCGGGCTCGTGTCATCGCTCATCGAGACGTGAGGATTTCTTTGGGAGTGGTCGTGGGTGATGCGAACGTCGACATTGCCGAATTGTCAATCCGATAACGAGACACGTGGAGGTCCTTTGCCCCGCGCGAGTCCTGAGCGCGACTTTAAGGACCTCTGGGAAGGGTCCACGAATGTGCGCCCAGAGCAGGTTTCTTTCAACCCGTGGGAAAGGAATCCTGAAATTATTTCGATCACTTCCGAGAAGGAAGTCGATTAGAATGGTGTACGTGTCCGGCGCAATTAAATAAGGTATGCGGACCGTTATGATGGATACCTGTCGGCTGGTAGAGATTTTCTCGGCCAATGGCGCGAGATCGAGGAAAATCGCTCGAGTAAATGTTTCGCAGCGGAAGGACAGGAACAAGTTTTGTTAGAGGTGTTTTTTGATACGACGCGTCGTTGTGGCAGAAAATCGCCCGATAGTTCTCGCTCTGATAAGGATGCATGAGGAGGCAAGGAACGACGTCTGACGTGGTGACGATTTTTCAATCGATTTTCGCACTCGGCGAACTCCGCGACACGTGCATGCATTTGGAGTAATCGTCGTTCGTAATGACTATTTCAAAGCCATGGAATTACATCCAGTTGTATCTTATCCAGGGTGTCTGAAGATAACACCGTGACTCAGAGATATCCCAACCGCTCATTGGCGATCTTGACCACTTTGCGAGGAGGATCGACCATTTCTCAGGAAAATGGCGATCGCGAAGATCAAGAATTTCATCGACAGCAGTATTAAGTCGGTCTCGACCCCTTTGGAGCGCACGGTGAATTTGGAGCCAGAAGTCGGAATCAAAATAAATCACTCGATCAATGAGAAGGCGCTCTTCGTGACGGTAATTGGAGCCAGACATTTGCCCCAAAATTTTGGCTTCACCAGGGTCAACAGCTACCTCGTCAAGGTGAGCTAGTTTATTTAAAAAGAATACAAGAAGGACTCTGTAAAAATACCGTTCATCTCATTTTATTATCACAAATTCAAGGTGAAGCTCATCCCAGGAAAGGAGAAGTTCGAGACGACGACGAAGAACGAGTCCTGGCCACATTGGAACGAGGAGTTCAAGTTCTCCCTGAGGAAGGAGACCAAGTCGAAATTCGGGAAGACCAAGGTCGTCGAGGAAGAGATCGGCGCTTCGAGGTTCATCGTGGCGACGCTTTACGCGATTTTGGAGGATAAACCGCTGATAGCGACCGAGAGGAAGGAGGCTGAGAAGGAGAAGGCCAAGGGAGAGGCCTTGAAGAAGGATGGAAAGCGGAAGGACTCGCAGAGCGCGGCTTCGGGCTCGCAGGAGACCACGAAGAGCAAACTCTTGGGCCAGTTTTTTGGAAAGGGGACCGACAAGGTCGGCGACGGTACCGGGGTCGAGAGGAGGGAAAGAATGGACAAGCGAAGGACCATCGGGGCCACCACGATACCTCTGGATCCGAAGAACTTCACGGCGAAACCGACGAAACCTAAACACTCCAGCGACGTCTCCACTGGAGAACTTTGGAGAACGCTCAGGCCGATTTCCAGCGGAATTTCTGGGGCCGAGGAGAGAGTGGGTTTATTATTTACATTAGTTTTTTTTTTTATCGCGATGCTCCGTTTATGGGAAAATAACGCTTAAGCTGTGGAATTTCAGAGGGAGAACAAGAAGGGCCAGGTCGAGGTCTTGCTCTGCCAGGAGAAGAGCGACAAAAAGGACGGAGCTGGTCGGCTGGTCTTGACTTTGCAGCGTTTGAGGTGTTCTTTGCAAACGATGCACGAGCACGAGGTCCTCAAGGGCCAGCTTTATATCAAGATGTCCGTCGTGGATGGTGGGAGGGTCACTCACTTCTGGAAGAGCGACCGGTTCGCCCCTACCATATCCATGAAGTTCAATCCTGAGATGGCGAAGGTGGTCGCGGACAACCCTTACGAGGGCGCTCTAAGTACCGTCAGCTTTGTCGTCAAGTTTGTCTCGAAAAATAAAATGGGTACGTTGATTGAGTCCCGCGACGTTGATTAAGGAAATGTGCTTATAAAATGTAACGGTCGTTTCAGGGAAGAAGACTACCGTGGGCCATTTTGTTATCGGACCTGATGTCGTCGGGGCTTATGGAGAACAATGGAAACAGGCTCTAGCGAAACCTGGACAGCAGGTCACCAAATGGCAGTCTTTTGAGTGAAGATGAAAGAGAGTTTTGGGGCTGCTATGTAATTTTAAGTTTCTGCGTCGGACGTAGCTCAATGTCAGAAAATGCTTTAGAGGAATGTTGTTCGGTACTTTGTGTCGAGTGATTCGAGTAAGAGCGATTTTTAGTATTACGTTGGATTTAAGCGGAACATTGAAACGAATGGATACGCTGTAGTGGCGAGCGAAAGACATCACACGTTGAAATTTTATTTTTTGAACTTTTATGACTAAGCGATTTGTAATGATTTTTTAGAGGTTTTTTTCGGAGTCGTATTGTCACAGTTCTTGGACACAAATGGCGGGTAATTGTTCTAATTGTCACTCAATTACAGGACACGGGTTAACGCCCTTCTGTTCCAGATCTTCGAAGAGATTAACCGTCCTTTAATTAGCTTTACAAGTGAATCAAGCGATCGCACTTTATCGTTAAGCGCGAAATCAAAAATGTAAAGGGTTTTATTTGTCGCCAATTCTTGTCTAGTGTCATAACAATCTCTAATCATTAATTGTTTCCAAGATCGCGACCTTTTGAAGACTGCACGTCGAGTGAATGTGAATTTTTACTACTTGCAAGGGAGGAAAAATGCCATTGCAACAATTGCACCAAGAACAGATAAATATTAATATATAAAGTATACTCATACTTAGCAGTTAGTGAGAGCGAATGCGTGTACATATGTATACTGTTCAAAAGAATGATATTCTTAGATAAGACACGAAGAAGGAAGATTGTCCATTGTGCCATTGGGAGATTTTATACATTTGAGGGCAAAAAATAACACCGGTATTGTGGTAGTATTAACAGAAGACCATAAAATTTAATTGTTTAATATTTGTGTTGAGGAAACGGAGGTATTTCTTTCAGCATCGACTATTATTGAGTTCGCCTCTTATCGCAGCTGCCGAATGGCTTGTTACAGTACTACTTTGTATAACACGTATTAACAATTCCCCTATTTTATAAAAGACTTCAAAGGTATTAATAAAAAGAATCTGTCCCCTTGAATTGTATTTGTATATAACATTTTTATTTTCCTTTCGCAGTAAACGCTTAGTATAATTTTAATTATAAAATTGCAGTTTCTTAAATGTCTTTCGCAATGATCTACCCTAATAATCATTTACAATACTGTGCAACGCTGACGAATAATATTTCATTTCAATTAATGTACAAGGCACTGCATTAGTATTTATTTTGACCCACTATACGGTGATCGTATAAAAATATAAAAATGCTCACGTGATGCTCAGACCTAAGTTAACTGTTCTTTCTTCATTCTGAATGGTATTGACAGTCTTATTAAGTAATAATAAAATCCAACGCATCGGTTGCGTGTAAGACGCCATAACATCTCTTATTTGTACTACGAACGGTTGATATGCTTTACACGATTCAGATCTCTGCAGCAGTAAAATTCTACATTGCTCCAGGGGACTGATGTTTGATGACTGACTTATGATAAAGAATATTTGAAAAAATTATTTGGCGAAGCATTCATAAAAAATGATTCATCAAGAATGGAACAATACTCGGACAGAAGCATTAAAAGAGCGTGATTAATGCCATAGTTACCCTATATATACTGGAATGTCTACCAATATAAATTAATTATCAAGTCTCTAGGAGCAAGCATATCTTAATCTACTCTTAAAGTGGTATTATTATTTCTCAGTCAGCTGTAGGCATGTTTAGCCATCGACATACAAGATCCTAGCATGATTTGGCCATGGAACAATGTAGTGCTTAAATTTTATCCAAAGCTCAAGTTTTCATTCGTGTAAGAAGTCTAAAGATGCATAAGTTACAATACTTTATCTGAAGTACATATTTCCATTACTTCTTCCAGAATAAAGAATGCATTGCATCATACGAATACAACTGCATCAAAAGAGTGTATGGGCTTCAAATGTGCATTCATAACCTACTGTTTCTTATTTGTTGGAATGATTTGCGACCAATAGGCTTTACGAAAGCACTAAGGAAATTCTTCAGATCATGAAAGAAACAAATCCTACAGTGAATATTGATATAAGCATAAGAGCCAATTGGCTTCCACTAATACGAGGAGCAGAATTACAGCCATCTTTGCTGTTGCAGGTACAGTATTCCATGAAAATGTTGTAAGTTCCAGTCCGCATTAAACAGAATCGCTCGTCACCGCCGATACCAGGCTCACCCATGTACGCGCAACTGCGAAAGTATCTCCACTCCCCATGAACTAAATAACAGTAATCGTACAAACGTGTGAGATCAATTACGAGTTACTGACTTACGTATCTACATTCTCATGTTTTGAAATATCCGACTACAAGTAAAATCGATACCTTTCTGTCGAATTTTTCGACACATTGTTGGCTTTACTCCTGGTAAATGCGACAACTCATTCTCCTGCTTACAATCAGTGATCGGAACTGTAGAATTGTCAAACGGATCGGCACATTTTGGATCTGCATCCGATCTGCACTCCCAACATTTTATGGCGAAGCCTGCCGACATGCAAATAGTAAACCATTATATATTTTGGAATATATCATCAGTTCTCATGCTTTACTCTAACATCCAATAAAACAACGTCGATTTCATCAATTTTCAACATGTGCCGATATCACATAACTTCGTGCCAATTGAAAAAGAAAATTTCCGCGCGCGTACGACGCGCACGCCCATCGCATGCCCGCGATGCAATTTCGAAAAGGAATATCGTCGATTAAAGTTAGGTTATCACCTCGCTCGACGAAGCAGATAAGTAGCGCCATCACTGCTAGGAAATGCAACCCCGATCTCGGGAACTCCATTCTTGATAAAATATACTTAATATAAAAATACTTGAGATATTTCGTACAAATCCCGGACGGGACAACGCCTAAGCACCAACGCCTATTGCATTCACCATTGCGGGGTGACGCGCCTGATCGTCCCAAGACGCCTCGGAAGACCTAGACTTCCAACCGAACAAGGTAAAGTGGGGTTATGGCGGGAAGCGGCCCAGTTTTAAAAACCAAAAATTATTTGCGCCAATCAAAGAACACTTTATGGACGCGCAATAAATTATTCGACCTTAAAGCTGCCACTTCCGTCATAGCATTCAATTTTCCTGCGAAATCTACGAGGATTTTGATGAATAGGATTAGCTATAATTCCGAGAAGTTGCAAAACATTTTTCGCAGCAACGTAGCGGTGCAGTAAATAAGAAGATGGCCTCAGCAAGGTGACTTAACCCTCCTTAGTCGACTTAGTCAGTCGTTACCTACGAAAGGAAGGGAAAAGCTTTCGGACTAGTAGGTAATTATTTAATCTTGTCGGGTAAGCGAGTCCCTTCTACCTGTAGAACAGTTTCAGTGCACTGCCGCTAGGTGGCAGGAACTCGCCGATACTTACTGGCTATACCATTGCCATTTCGGTTAAACAACGCCAAATGGAAGTCCGATGAATCGGTAAGTTTAATATTTATGGAACAATTGAACTAGTTAAACTCTTTTAGGATGATCATGAGGAAGGTAGCTGTTCGATTTCGGGACGTCGGACGAGTTTTCCGGAGCAAGATACATCACGCATGACCGACAGAGCGTTGTGATGCTTACGTATGCGACGCAACGGTATGCAATTACGTAGGATCGCATAACTACAGCCTCGGACGATGTCCAGCCGACAGCGTGACCATCTCAAGGCCGTGGCCAGATCTTCATCCGGAGCACCAGACGAAGATTGCACTTAACCACGTTAATGCAACTAGATCGTATCTCCTAAGAAAATTGTCCTCAAGGATGTTCTTCGTAGAAGCGACGACGCGTTTGGAAGTACATACTGAATTTTGATGCCGCAGTTCTAGTGCCCATACTCCTGAATCCTGCGAATGTTCTACGAATATTTCGTTTTCCCTAGTACATAATGCAAATGTTTAAAATATACAGTGAATATTCATGGATCGCAGAATTTTTGAGAATATTCAAAGCATGCTCTGGCTTGTGAATGTATATACAACGTATTCACTAAATATTTCAAATATCTAGAGCATATTAAAAGATTTAAGGAATATTTATAGTGGAATACTTATAATGGTGTTATCTGGGTACACGCCGCCATTGTATCACGAGGTGGGTGGCCTTCTAGTTATAAGAGAAATAAAATTACCTCAGGCGAGGCGGTCTATTCTGTCCCTTTCCGACCGTAATCGTGAAAAATACGTTTCGAGCAGTTACACGGCAATTCTGTTTCATACATGAAACAATGATTTTGAAGTGCATTGGACTCCTTCTGGGTGGCTTAAAGTAGCTCTCCTGCGCTCTCGACTTCCGTTTTCGCTGCAAGGACCCTTCGGGCAGATTATTGTCTGAAGGGAGTCGAAGGGCGAGCTTTTGCGAAGCTCCTTTGGGTTCTTCTGGCTGAAAGGAGTCCTCGGGGAACCCCTCGCGTCCCTTGTTCCTCCCAGGAAGGAGGGGATCTGCCGCGGGTGGTCCACGGTCGGACGAGCAGACTGGGCACCGTGGAAACATTTGAATGCTATAAATAAATATAAATAAATTGATTTGCCGGCATTAGCATAAGTAGCTCGGAGTCTGGGGGCTCTTCGGGACCTGGTCTCTGGTCGTTCCCTCGGTTTCGTTCTGGGAGCGGACGTTGATTTATACGACGCTCCCAGGTCCACCTAGTCGAGTCCTCGAGGTTCGAAGGACCCGAAGCTGGACCTTCGGGAATCCCCTCCGTTCGATTCCTGGCATACTTTGGAATCACCTTCCACATATCAAACCTGTTCGCCCAAAACTATGAACCACCAATTGAGGGAAAACGCCTACTTCGAGAGGCATCGACGCCACATTTCTTTTTATATATGCGAATAATTTAGTAGATATGCGCTGACCTTGAAATCCGGAAACATGGAATTCTGCCTCGAGGGAGCTTTCAAAAGAGAATGGAATGAATTAGGGTCGCAGATCGGTGGATGGAGAATAATGATAAATTTAGGGGCCCTGCATAATTCTGGGCGATCCAATAAAATCCGTATTTAATTCTGAAATGAAACCGGTCTTGCTAGGGTCAAAACTGTGGAAACTTTGTTGTTTGGATAGAGCCCTTAAGAACTCGGCTCCAGGCCGCGGAACTCGACACTAAAAAGGACCATTTGGTCCTGGGAAGCGACGATCTCGTTCTAAATGCAAGCACTCATGGCCATGGACCACTTAGCCGAAAACGCGGCACGAAATCACCGCCTTCGGGGGGCGGGACGCGCCGATTTTTTTTCCCCCAAAACTGGTAATTTCGTGCAATCTTCCGAAAGAGATGGAGGCGTGCCCGGCCACGAGTATATTCCGGTAGGGAACGGAACGTGTGTCATTACCCTGGAGTGGTCTTCGTTTCTTTTACATCCCGAACTAATAAATTCGCCCTCGCATACCGTGGACACTGGCCGATGTCTTTTACACCGTGGAAGATTTAAATAATAAAATGGCCGCGTCAAATCGTCGAACCAGTTGTCGATCACTGAATGATCCATGTTTCCGACATTCTTATCAGGGATATCTATTCATATTATCATCTATTCATTTTTATCGGGCAGCCGATTCGCGAACGTTATCCTTGCATTTTGATTAATACCCCGGAGTAACGTAAGTACCTCGTGTTAACGCCATCGAAGTTGCGAGGAAGTTTAATCGGCATCGCTTAGCCTTGTGCACGTCCATTAACATAGCGAGTGTTTAATGTAGATTGAAATTGTTTGCACACAGAGGCAGAATCGCGCCTGTCTGGGCGTTCCGTTATTTTTCGAGGAGCATTAACTGGTTATTCATTTAACCGGCTTCCCAACCGCCCATTTTCGCTACTATAATAAATAGCCAGTAATTTTCAGGTTTGTTGGAAAGCCGAGTGTGCGCGCTCGATACACGTGAGCAGACTGAAACGACTCTTGCGTAAACTACTGCACATTTGCGTCTAGGGATATTGCGATTGGAAAGCATAAAGGGCGCACAGACGGCCATTTTCCGCCGGAAAAATCAAATTGGAGCGCCTCCTGTCCATTACAACCGGTTATGTAACTATACCTAATCCAGAATTTTTGCCATCATAAATAGCCGGCCATCTTGGGACTCTATCGAACAAGCTAAAACATTCTCCAGAGAAAATTGCTCGCAATTGAAACTCCTCTTACATATTTCTTATATATATATATAAATTCTTCGCATGCGAAATTGACAATGTCGACTCGGTAACAATGCGAGATTTTTCATGCGAATCTATTTCGTAAGAAAATCCGTATGACCTCGAGAATCGGGTGTCGGTTAATAATAACAACGGGGGGAAAAAGCAATTTATTAATCGGGTATAAGAAATTCCAGTTTCAAATGATTCGGCAAAAAGTGCTGCTGCATCATCTAGGTGAGGGCAAGGTTAGGTTAGATCCTTGAAAACTGTCGTCGTGGTCCCTTTCCAGCCGAACTCTTTCATCTCTTTCGCTTCACCTCTCGATGCGTCGAATCGGCGGAGACTCGGAAGGACGTCCTCGCGCGAGGAAACATAACCTCTTCCGAGAGGCTCCGCTAAAAGCGCAGATTAATATCCAGAAATGCCGTGTAGGACGCACACGAGTAGCCGGCTCGTCCACCGCCACCTCCAACTCGCCGAGTCCACCAACACGAGGCCCGACTTCCGCCTCTCCTCCGGCTTCGTTGATACTTCCTCTCGCGTTCCTCTCAGTCGCACCGGGGCCACGTGCGCGCTCGGTACGTCGCTCCAGACTTCGGCCTACTTCGGTGCAGTTCGGCCCCTGCCTTCGGCCCGCGTCTTTCCGTTCGAGCCGGCCAATCGCGGCGCCACTTTCCGCTGGGCCGCGGCCGATGGGGTGCGCGCGTCTCCGAGTGGTCGCTGCGACATACGAAGATGGTTCCATGATCACGGGAGTAATTCTCGGTTTCACCAAGTCAACCAGCTTCAACTTCGAGCTTTTCATCGGCTCCATTAACTCCTACCACCCACCAGCACAGTGATGCGCCTATCGGAAGAAAAATAACCAAACATCGCATGAACTTCGACCGAGTCAGCCGAGTTTAACCTCCAGCCATTAATTCGATTAATTCCGGATATTAATTTCCGTAGCGACGAGTCTGGGAAATTAAATTAACCAGCACGACCATGGCAATTAATTTGGTTTACTCGGACTCGACTCAGCCGCTATGTGTATGATCTTGCCGAGGATGTGGGCGGTTAAAACGTGAGAAAAAAGGAAGAGCGGAGCAGGTAGCAATTTATTAGCCAGATTCGCGTCGCGGATAAGCCCCGAATGTGCTTCTTCGTGTGTTAAGAGTTTCTCACGAGGCGGAACTTCGAAGGGAGGTCCGAGATCGAAGGGACCGAGGTCTCTCGTGATTTCACGTGATGTCTCCCCGGGATACCGAGGTATTCTCCTCGAGTTCCGTCACGCGAACTCCGGCGCACCTCAGGGACCTCCAGGAGAGCGGGCGAAACGGATCCGTCAATCCGGCCGACACCTCGAGGAACGAAATCGGAGCAGCGAGCGCAGTTTCGTGTCGCCTGTGATTTCCGTACGTTCGTTCAGCTCGACGAATAGCTGCGCCGAGGAAACGCTGGATGTGTGGTCTCCAGATCGTAGGAGCTCTGGTCAAAGGAATTAACTCTGGGCTGGCGGTAATTTTTAATTCCGGATTAAGTGTACACTTAAGTGGATTTTATCTCAAAGAACGACGGGAGAGACAAAGAATTCCCCATTTGAAATTTCAAAGAAACGAGGAATTCGTTCTTTGTAATTTTAGGAAAAAAAGAATTCGTTTGTAATACCCGCCCTCTTGATTTTGGGTGTCATTTTTACTCCCACTCGAAGAGTGCCCACGCTATTAGCGAGTCACACCTTCGAGAACGCTGGAAAGCTGTGGAAAAAGTGTCCATCAATTCGGATTAGACCCAACACCCCACCACGCGTGGAAAGTACAATGCGAGCAGCTTATCGCGTTCCACATTGAGTTCCATACACGTTTGTGCTCCTTGGACTGCTTCATTATGCAAAGGAGCTGCAAAGTCACGCCTCGCATAAACAGTGCACTTTGTTTAAGGCAGGTAGCTCCTAGGGACTCGATGGATGCGGTTGGCAAAGGATTCGTCAATGCCGATGCCTCTTGAACAGCTGACTCTCGCAGTGCAAGTACTTTGAAGAGCAACACCCATGCGAGACGCCCAACGCGTGTGGAGGCACGTATCTGATGCCCACACCCGGATTATGGACGATCTGGGATCCATAACAGAGTTTCCAGCACCTGAGCGTTACCGGTTGAAATTGTAGGACCCCTACATCTATCAACCAACTCAAAGGCACTTAGCCAAATTTCGTACCCGATTTGCAGGATAAAGGCAAGATCCAAATCCACCACGAAGAGACGTCCATCGTTTCAGACATTGACCAACTTGAGACGGTAAACGCAGGATCTAAGTCCATCACGAAGAGACATCCATCGTTTCAGACATTGACCAACTTGAGACAGGGTGAACGCAAGATCCAAACCCATCACGAAGAGACATCCATCGTTTCAGACATTGACCAACTTGAGACAGGGTAAATGCAGGATCTAAGTCCATTACGAAGACACATCCATCGTTTCAGACATTGACCAACTCCGGTCAGGGTGAACGCAGGATCCAAACCCATCACGAAGAGACATCCATCGTTCCAGACACTGACCAACTCGAGACAGGGTAATCGTAGGATCCAAACTCACTACTAAGAGGCGTCCATCGTTCCAGGTATCAACTAATCCCTGACAGGGTAAACGCAAGACTCAAACCCACCACGAAGAGACGTCCATCTGCTCGGACATCGACCCATTCATCCTCGATACTGGGTCGCGGTTGGTGTTGGGCTCTCATCCGGTGCTGGGCTTTTGGACATTTGGGAGGCATTCCCACCACGATCGGCCTGGTGCGGGGTTACGTTCCGTTCTTTAAAATCCCGACGAACTCGGACTCGGTGAGCGGCGCTGTATTTATAGACCCGCAGGAGAGAGAGGAAACGTAGATCCAAGGGAGAGAAAGAGAGCTCCAGAGCGAGCTTGCGAGGAGCAAGTGCGTCCACGTCGCGGCAAGCCATCTCAGCGATCGCAAGTCCGGGACGAGACGGGACGCGATCATGACGCGATGGGTCCTCGACAAGAGCGAGCCTCCTCGTCGAATCTCCACCTCGCCAAGCGAAGATTCACCCAACAGGATTGGGGACACCCGAGGATGATCCTGGACCCGGTGAAAGTCCTTCGGTGCTCCGGGGTTCTTCTACTCCTGCCGATGATTGGCGCCGATCACTTCCCGGTGAGTGGATGGGCGTCGTGCGGTTTCCATGGTGAAATGCACGTTGCATGGTGAAATGTACGTTGCACCATGGTGAAACGCACATTACTCCACAGTGAAATGCACGTTGTATGGTGAAATGTACGTTGCACCATGGTGAAATGCGCGTTGCATGGTGAAATGCACGATGCATGGTGAAATGTACGTTGCACCATGGTGAAATGCGCGTTGCATGGTGAAACGCACATTACCCCATGGTCAAATGCACGTTGCATGGTGAAACGCACATTACTGAAACCATGGTCGACCAATTTCTGGCGTCCCATTGAATCCCACCATGTTAGTCAATTTCGCTGATTTACGTTTCTCCCTAAAAACGGGATAATAGCTTTTTGTGAGTTATCAGTCCGGGTTGGAGCCAGGTCAGATTAATGGTGATCTCGGGACCCGTCCAGAGAATTGATGTCGCTCGCGGTGGGATTTTGTTCGATTTCAATTGATCGATTGTTCCTCACTTGACTTGGTGGTCGGTTGGGGTTTAGCGGTCCCGAGTTGATGGTTTGACAAATTGGAGGTTTTTCTGAGCGACTCTAACGGTTGTTAGTATGTGTTCGATCTCGTAAATCTGGGTACGGGGAATGTATATAGCGAGGTGGAATATAGGCGATGACTGGGCCTCGTTAAAAAAAAAAACAGATGTGTGCACCGCAGAAGTGCTCGCTACCCCATTTCGCACAAGTTAGAGACTCCGCGAAGTGGAGGCTGAGCTCGGCGGGATCGAAAACGGGGAAAAACTGGGGATAATGGATTTCGTTCAGGGAACTTCCGCTAGGATACATTTTCCTACGTTTTTTATCGCCCAACGGAAGAAGAACAAGTGGAACTCTGTTCCGCGAAGACGTAGTACACGCGTAGGCACCAGATTGGAAGTGCAGAAATTGGCAAGAAAAAGCTCTTGAGATTCGAACCGGGCAGGGCTGCACGCTGCTACACTATCCTACGCCAAAGCTACGTAAACGTAGCTATATAAGTAGTTAGCTACGTTAGTAGCATGGTGTATCTCGGGGAAAGTGCCCCAGGCATAAGTATCTCTCGAGAGAACGAAGACCGTATCACGTTGCACCGGCATCTCGGTCTCTACGAACTCGCGATAAGAACCTGAAGATACCCCGGGAGTCCGCCGCGAGCACCGGATTTATCAAGAGACAAAAGAGTCCTTCTTTGGGGCTTCATAGAAAGTCGCTCTCGGCCCGAGAAAAATGGCCTCATGGCGCACGTATGCCGCTTACGGGCCCCGTAGATCCCATCGCCACCGGCCACTACCGCTGACAAATCCCCGTTTACTTCCGTAACGGTTCACGCTGGAGAAAAGTGTCCTCTACAAAAACTGTGAAGAATCACTCGTGGAGGAACTTTTGTTTTGGACATTTTTCTACGTCGCGCGCCGTTGATGAGATAATCGGGAAAATGGATAGCCCTAAACCCTTGCCGGTGCAGGAGAGCGGATTACGAAACGATCTTCTTTTTGGGCACGCAAGACGTGGGTGTATCTCTTTTTTTCCGAGCTGTCCGGCTGTATATTATCCCATCACTACCGGTTTCTCTTCGGTGGGGGATCTCTGGGTCTTTTAACGAGGGTCTTCCAGCAGCTTTGACGTTTGTCCGTCGCCATCTTGTTTCGCGCTGAGGGGTCGTGTCTGATTGTTTCCTTAACAATCCCCTGGCCGTTTTGGGGATACTAGCAGCACTTTTATACTGGATCAACTTTTAGTTCCGACCAGATGATTAGTCCAAAATGTATTAAACAGTATTCCTGTACAAATATTCGTCGTCAAATCGCGGATACATGGCTCGGGACCACTAACGGTTCCTGGTCTTGCTGAGTTCTCGAGTTTTAACGAGGCTGGTGATCTTTCAGCTCTGTCACTGGCTCTCGAGATGTTGATCTCGGGGTTAAGCGCCGTCGTGGGCTGACTCGGTGTAAGGTCGGAGTTCTCCAGGTCAGCTCCACTCTCATCTCGCATTGAACTACTAATCCTCCCGTTAACGAGGCGAGACGAGTCTTCCGGGCCATCTGCGTTCCCCGAAGAACATCTGGGGTCTCCAACCCAAAAAAAGGAGGAAAAATTATATCCTAATTTCCTCAAAGCTGGCCCTAAATAGAAGCGCTTCTAATAATACAATCCACGAGGTCAACGATGCGACTTAAGGCCGCCTTCGATCTTAAGGCCTGTCCAGCAAAATGGCGACTCTCGAGATGACCAACGCGTCGTTCGGCCTCATTTCGGGTCCACCAATTATTATTCTTCACAATTCCTTCAGCCAGAATTACATTTTGATTGATAGTCGAAAGACGCATTTGTTACCTGACGTAGGAAATTAATTACTCGTACCGACGCCCTTAAAGAAACTTCCGTTTCCCAGGAGAGATTTCGCGGAATCTCGCGGAGTGCTCCTTGGCGACACTCCTGGGAGTCCTCGGCCGGGCCTTTTGTTTTTGCTTTTGCATGCTATAGTGACGCCTGTCCATTGGAATTTGAGCTCGTAGTTAGGCAGGAAATGTGTACTGCGCCTCGGAAAAAAAAAGTGGTCCCGCGGAAGGTATGTCGCGTACGGTTCTTCGGTCCCGAGGGTCTCCTCTCCTTTGGCCTTTTATTTCTTCTTCTTGTCCGTTCCGAGGCTCCTGGGCCATTGTCTTCGTGATTCGCGACTGTCTTGGGAAAATACGGGCCTGCCATTGCGATCCTCGCGGGATCAGGAACTAGATTTACATTCTTTCTGCCGGGCGACGCGGAAAGGGACGCTCTACCTCTCGCGGTGGTCCGCCATCTTGGTTCCCGCCGCCATGATGGTCTTACAACGGAGGAGTCTTAATTTTGCAAACTTTTCAAGTAAACGCCTGAATGACGAAATCCACAGTCTCTCTGAAATCTAAATTATGAAGTTCGAGACACGAGAAGGGCCACCTAGGTCGGAAAAGAGGGCACAAAGAAATTGGCGTCCTTTAACGAAGACGCCAATTTCGGACTCGTAAAGCCTAACTCGTGCACCGAAAAAGAGGATTTATCGAGTTTCTTATGTGTCGCGTGTGTAAGGTCATACTCGAGAAACAGAAGGGCGTGGGTAAATTTACCGCGGATGTTCCCTGCGACGTTTACTACGTAATTTTACGATGATTTATAACGCGCCATGACAGACGGGTGTAGCATAACACATTTGCTCGATCCTCTATGATGTCTTCATAGCGCATACAAGACGAACGACATGGCGTGTCGTTTCTCCCCCATGATAATAAGAGAAATCGAAGGTGACGAAGAGGGTCACCCTCGAACTTTCGTTTCAGGCTTTCATATCCTCGTCCGAAATATCCTTCTTTATTTTCTCTACTTTCAGAGCACCTTTTCCTACAAATCCGAATTTTCTTTCTATCTGATAATTCCCCAGATTCACTCATGAAATCATGGATTTTAATTCTCGAAATCACTGGAAATCGTTGGAAATCGCCAAAAGATTGACACAGTTTCAAAGCCGACTGTCACTTATTACCAAATCGCATTGTTTATCATATGAAATTATAGGCAATCAGTTCTTAAAGAAGGAAATTGTTTTCACTGATTCCCGAGTGAATGGCCTCTCGTAATTCTTTCAATCCAGACATGGTCGTGTAAAGGCTTGAGACGACTTCTTGCGCCAAGTTAAGGGAACCTCGAGAAAGTGTAATGGTAACTTCGTGTGGTAAAAAGTCACCTTTGAACCCGCTTAAAGGCTTTTAATATCGGCCGCGGTCGTGTACGAGCGCCTACTATCTCGCGCTCGCGCCGATCGATACGTCGATCGATTTATTGCGCCAGTCGCGTAATAAATGAATTCGGCGAGTCGAGTAAAGCCAATTGGACGGTCGATTGCGCGATTCGACCTGAATTCGCGATCTAGGTCGCGCCCGAGAGGTGTCGTCACGTCCTCTCGGTCCCTCCGAGCATCGACATCACCGGCGCGAGAAGAGGCGGCCATCTTGCGGCCCCGACGAGTCAACGGACGCAGACGCGGGTTCGTCGTCGAGGTCTCAACGAAAAGTCCCGCGTTCCTTCCGTAGCTCGTAAAATGAGGCCCCTCTGGTTACGCGACGTCGACTCGGCAAAAGTCTCGCTTTGCCGAAACTCTCCCCGCGATTTGCTCGAGTTCAAAGGACGCAAACCTCCGCGCCGGCCGAGAGCAGTCGGATCCGCAAATAACTTCCGACGAGACTGGTCGCGAGGGGGGAACAATAATAAATAACTCCGTTCCGTTGTGCCCGGCACCGCGGCTGTACGACCGGAGGACACAAATTTCCTCTTAATCGCGATTTTAATCTAAACGCGTGGCGAAGACGCGAGGGAAGAAGTGCGCCCGAAAGGTTGCGATTTCATGACGATGTACCCTCGACTACAAAGTGAGAGATAGAAAGAGATATGCACGGAAGGGGGAGGCTTTGTTGGTGCAGGAGAGTGTATTGTTGAAATTTATGCCGGGAGACTTTACCTCCGGAATGATGACGGAATCATTGATTCCGTCGGAGAGACGCTAAGGTTGCGAGGTGATGCCGACGCGGCGTCCCTAGCAACGGTTGCCACGGCGACGCTCGGTGCGGAGTCCCTAGTAACGGTTGCTACGACGCGGTACGGCGTCCCTAGGGGTTAGATACGGGTTTTGCTTAAAAAGTTAACATGGAAACCGTGGTTTCCGAAGGGGCCTAATGCCAAGCACTGTACCTTCGGAGAGCACGAGGTCTTGCGCACACGATTAACGATGCCGATTACGTTCCTTCGGCCGGAAGCGGGGAATATCTTCACGTCGCGGAATTGGTCCTGGCAACGCGATCTCGCAGCTAATTGCGTATATATCGACTTTGTTCCTGCACGAAGGGAATTATCTCCAAAAAATGCTCCTTCGTTGCCGGGAGGTAGGAATTCCTCGACATCTTACCAAGGCGGTCTTGCGGCTAATTATCAGCGATGAAAACGGCGGATAAAACCGCGGACTGGAGTTTTTCGGATTTTGACGTAGGGGGGAAATTTTTGCTATACCTTTCGTGCTTAAATAGTGGTTTGAAATTAAAGGCTTATTTGGAACTGGTCGTGGTCAGGTGTTTTTTAGTAGTAAGCATTTTTCTGTGGTGCGGTTTCCAGTTTGCAACCCCTTCGGGTCTTCCAGCCTGACGAGCGAGCTTGCGGAATCCCCAGGTCCGAGAACGTCACCCTGGGCTCTTCTTTCCAGTCCCAGGACCCATAAATCAGGGACCGATCTCTCCATAGCGAGCATTCCTTCGACTCTGTGGAAGTCGCGCTCGCGGGGGCTCTTTTTAAATTACTCGTAAGAAATCGCCAGCCATTTTCGGGCGGACACTCGACGAGAGCCATGTATGGTATAGTAGAGGCGTCACTCCGTAAAACGGACGTCTCCGACTCGGCTCTACGTCTTCCTTTTTTATTATTTCCTCTTCTTGTTTCCTGAACCCTTCCACGATTGGCCGGACCGAGCGAAGCACGCATACGACTCGGGATGCCTTCGGACAGTGAGCTGTTAAGGGACAAAGAAGGAATCAGAAATCATCCAGAAATTCAGTCCACTCGTTTATCGAAATTGGACTCTCGGAACGATTCGCTCTTCCCTTGGCAACCGCTACGACGCCGTTGCCATGGTAAGCGGGGCTAGCACATGACGCCGTTGCCATGGTAACCAGGCTAATAGCATGATGCCGTTGCCACGGTAACCGGGACTAACGTCATGACGCCGTTGCTATGGTATCCGGCCAGGCTAGGACGCCGTAACTATGGCTTTCTATTTCTGTACACGGTATTACGTTCCTCTCGTACTCTTTTCATTTTTTTCCCTCTTTTTTTAACGAAAATGCGTCGTAAACCTGACGTCCCCATGAATTATTTAAAAATCGTGCGTTTGCGGGACCACCCCGGAGAAGTCTGGCGTTTCGAAGAACGACCAAGGCGGCTCGTTTCCTCGAGAGGAGTACTTCCTCTTAGTGTACTCGCTCGTAGGCGAAGGAAAACTCGTTTTTACCTAGTCCTCGTTAATTCCCCTGCGCTATGTGCAGGTGGAGGAAATAAAATAGTTGACTAATCCGAGGGTTCTTTCGCATCCTAGGGAGCCTCGGAGGTCCGATAAACGGGCTTGGCGAAGTCTTCTCTTCTCTCGGGTTCTCCTTGGGCTCTCTTCGGGTTCTCTTCGGGCTCTTCAGGCTCGGTTTCGCCGCTGTAAGCGGCAAAGAGCTCGAGCCTCGAGCAAAAAGCTCCAGCCTCGAGGAGATGTAAGGCACCGCGCTTTAGCCTAGTTTGGACACGTTCACCTCGGCGCATACAAATTTCTCGACTATAGGACGACCAAGACTTATCGCAGGCCACCCTCGAGCATTCTAGCGAGCCGATCGAGCTCGCACAAGTATAGAGGGCGATTCATGACCATCGCTGTAATGGCTATAAAATGGAAATGCGAAGTCAAGTGCACACTGACCAAAATCGGACGACTCGGGTGGAAAAGTGCATTTTGAAAGTTGGCCATGGTCTCATCCCTTCGTTTAATGCAAATTTTGGGAACGTCACGTGTCGTCTTCTCTACGTGCAGCTCCATGTCGTCAGGGCGAATGGCTCTCGTCTATGCTAATACATGTATTAGCGTATGCAAAAAAGCCATTGTTAAAATCCCAGGAGCGAGACCGTTCGGATCGAGTGATTGTTTTGAGGCTGTTGTGCAACTTTTGATTAGTGGTTGCTATCTCGTATCGCTATTGCCCAGGACAAATTGAGCTTAATTCCGACGCCAATGGCTCAACTTAGCTGCGAGAGAGCGTTTGACGATTTCCATAACGACGACTAGGTACTCGTAACGATGTCCTGCTCGTAAAGGCTCGAGGTGGCAGGACACCTCTCCCTCGAGGCCTTTTATATATTAATAACAGTTGTCCCCTCTGATATTACGAGGACAATGACAAACAACCGATCCGCGAAATTGATCGCGTCTAGTCGGGCGAGGCTCTACAGGGCGATGCAGAAAAGATGCCTTTCTCTTGGACTTTTATCCTCCGAAAGGAGTGCTGGATTTTGAAATTAATTCGAAACTACGGCCAGAATATTTACGTCCAATTGTGCTTGATTTGGAACGCCATGCCAATAAATCCCGTATTATTGCAGGGAAATAACAGAAATAACAGCCTCCTGGAGAACGACCCGACTTGGATGGGCTCGAGTAGGCGAGACATTATCCCCGATGGCGACATACCAAAGAGTAGTAGGTAGAGATTCTGTAATATGAAAATGAAAGAACCTTGGTTTACGCACTCGAGGATGATTGTAATACCTTTTTTTTTTTACCTTCTCAGAATCTCCGAAATCCTTCAATTTCACTGACTGGAGCGAGTGGTCGGTCTGCGATCGACATTGCACCCAAAACCGAGTCAGAAGGTGTCGGACCAAGGCAAGATGTGGAAACACGGTGATCAGGGTGGGTCCGAATATTTCTCATAACTGCACCTCCGCTCGTAAAGCACACTCCCTTTTTTAATTTTCTTTCTTTTTTTCATCGAAGGAATGAATCACGATCAAAGGGAGGATGTTCGCGTATGGGGTCGTGTTGGGGAAAAAAGCGTTGAGAAATTATTTCCGCGAATAGTAATTAACTATCCGAGATGAAAGGGACAGGGTGAGACCATAAACATGAAATTTTGGATGCATGTAAACATCATTAGTGCCAGGATCGAGGGGGGCGTGTTGATGCACGCGCGCGCCATTGTGCATGAAACCCTTAATGCATGCACGTGATGTATATAAGTATATTTATGGATGAGCTAAAATTAATTTTGCAGGAGGAGCGCAGCTGCCATCACAAAAGAAAAGGACGACGAAGGAGCTGCAGACAGCGCCAGGGCCGCGGAGGTCGCCGGAACGACGAGAAATTCCACGTCGTCCAGGTGAGCTTCGCCATTTTTTATTTCCTCTTGCAGCAGCCCGAGGGAAATTCTGAGGTCCTACAAGGCTCCCTTCGATTCCTCACCGCCCTCTAAAAATAATTCACACATGTTTCTGAGTACTTTACATTATTACCGAGATTTATCACTCACCGCTGGAAAGTCGATTCGCTCCGCTCGCGGGAACATTCAGCCATGGAGCTGTAAAAAATATTTCCCGTTAATAACGCAGGACGTGATTCCACGAAAGATGTAGTCACGTTTTTATACGACGTCGCAGTCACTTCAAAATAATTATTCCGCACGTTAAAGCACTCTCAAGATAAATTGGATAAAGTTGTGGATATATCATAGTCACTGCTTATGTTAATGGAATAATTTTTTTATCAACAGATCCCGAAGGAGGCGGAACCTAGACAAGGCAGGAGAAGAGGTAAAGGACCAGGCAAAGGATCCAGAGAAAAGTCCAGCAGTAATTACGGAAAATGGAGCAAATGGTCGCCTTGCACCAGATCTTGTACTACGCAGAGACACAGGTAACTCGGTCGTTCTTAATTTCAATCCGAATTTCTTCAAGGTTGTAACAATTTGATATGCCCTTCTAGGTGGTGCCGCAGGCCAGGGATTTGCGGGAGAGATGTGATCCGAGAAAGCGCTTATTGTTACGTGGAAGGCAGTTTTTGTCAGCGATGGATCCATCGGCGCATCCGAGGCAGCCAGGAGGAAGAAAACGATGGTAACCTCGGGGTTACACTTCTCTTATACCCGGTTGAAATAAAAAAAAGAGAGGATTAATATAATTAATGTAAATCGCAGACCTGGACCTGGAGGAGTTCGAGCTGAACCCGAACACGGTGGAGAGTCTGAGCAACGCGAAGGACGATCACAGCTGGAAATGTGGAGTGGCGAACGCAGGAAAAAATTCAAGGCTTTCCTACTTCACCAGGATCATCGGTGGTCGTCCAACCGTCCCTGGAAGCTGGCCCTGGCAAGTGGCAGTGCTGAACAGATTTCGAGTGAGTATCTCACCCTGAAGAGTAAGTAAATAAATTAGGATCACTCCTTACGAGCTGTTCTAACTCCAGGAAGCCTTCTGCGGAGGAACCTTGGTCTCTCCTCGATGGGTCCTCACCGCAGCCCACTGCATCAGGAAGCGTCTTTACGTCAGGATCGGAGAACACGACCTCACCGTGAAAGAGGGCACTGAATTAGAACTCAGGGTAACGTCAGATAGCCATAGATAATCAGAGATAAATACCCGAAAACGATCTTCAAAGGTGATGTACCGACTCTAGGTGGACGCTGTCATGATACATCCTGACTACGATGCCGACACCGTCGACAATGACGTTGCTCTTCTTCGTCTTCCCGTCACTTTGACTCCTGCTGCTACGAGGGGGGTTGCATGTCTGCCGGCACCTAGACAATCCTTGCCAACGAATCAGCTGTGCACTATCATAGGCTGGGGAAAGTCCAGGGCGACCGACGACTTCGGCACTGATGTTCTCCACGAAGCAAAGGTACCCGGACCGCCTCCTATGATCTTAGAATTAATTTAAAATTTATTTATTATTCTTTCAGATACCGATTGTTTCGGCGGAGACTTGTCGAGAAGTCTACGTGGACTATAGGATCACTGATAACATGTTCTGCGCTGGTTATCGTCGAGGTAGGATGGACTCCTGCGCAGGAGACAGTGGAGGTCCTTTGCTCTGTAGGGACCCTCGAAGACCCGATCATCCTTGGACCATTTTTGGCATCACTAGCTTCGGCGAGGGGTGCGGAAAGCGGGGAAAATTCGGTATCTACGCGAGACTGACCAATTACGTTAGGTGGATCGCTGAAGTTATCAAGCAAACAGATGCTTTTACATAAATTTCTTTTAATACACTCGTAGGGATCTTAATTCTATCCGGAGGATTATCGTTAAGGTCCCGGAGAGGACGTAATTAACGAGAGCGTTATGTGATTTAAAAAGGACTCAAGGGTGGGCTAGGAAATTCCCTCGAGTTTTTTTCTTAGGTTTATCAAACCTTTCGATTTCATCGCGAAAGGAAGTTAGGTTGGACGCTTACGTGGTTCCCTTCGATAGTACTTTTATTCACCTCCGACCACCGCTTTCCTCATCTGGTCGCTTTGCCTTTTCTTATCGTATTATAGATTATTAAACTACATTACTCAATAAACTAGACGAATCGGTGGATATTTAGATACTTATTTTTTAGTGCTTGCAACAATTATGGACTGTGAGAGGGAGGGCTAGTATTAACAGGCAGTGGATGCGTTAATACTTAAACATGGCCGATAATATTAATTACAAATTATCGTGAAATAAGTATACGCGGTATTTCAAGAGTTCTCATAGAAATTTTGAAAAACTGATTTATGTGAGGAAAAATACATTTCGAATACTAGTGATAATTCCTTGGCCTTCCGAGTGACTGTATACTTTTTCACACGTTTAGAATAAAATGCACCATTAGTACGTCCAGTTCGTTCGCTATACCTTGGACAATTGAAATTGTACCGTCTTTTTTTTTTTTCTTCATTTAAACTTTTTAATAGTACGAAACAAATATCAGATACATCTTATGCTTGTGCTTTTTAACAGAAAGTGGAACCTTATCGACAGTGGTATTACAGTATGGAAAATACTAAACTGCGTAATCAGTACATCGACGTCTTACGGGGTGATCAAAATAACAAACGTAAAAAGATGGAAGATATGAATGGAGAAATCGAGTTTCCTCGAGTCCTTTATGATTAATTATTAAAAGCTCGACGTATCCGGTTAGTGCTGCCCTCTGTTCCATCTTCTTTATCGACTTTACAGCTGCTCCTCAGAAGGTGGACGTCCAGACAACCGCGACGAAGAGTGGAGGTTGTCGAGATGAAGAAACGCGGTGCAAAGAGTATTTTACGATGTATTGTTACCAGGCCTTTAACCAATTGAGGGCCACTTTGAACAGGGTGGTCCACTTCAATTGAATTTGCACTTTGAGAAGTCCATTTCCGGGTGCTGCTCCATGAACCTAATAAAATCGTCACATTGAATACCGCGAATATAATGAATCATCTCGCGTCATATCTCATCGTTCTTACTTCTTTATGACATCTTGCTTCTTCTGCTCGTCCGAGGTCGGCAGACCCAGTTCTTTCTGTCGCTGGTCGTACATCATTTTCTCGACCAATCCGCGTGTTTCTCCATCCAAGTCGGAAAGTTTGCTGGGTTCCGGGTTGACCTTTTTCGTGCTGATCTCCGGGTCGCCAGTGACCACGTGAGCCCACCATTGCATCTTGTTCACCTGGAAACGAATCGTCACACGTATCAGAAGGCATTCAAGATTATTTACTTCTCCATTTATTTCGATATACGGCTCTACCTTTTCCAGGTTAATGAGGAGCGTTTTTCCGTCCTCGATGACCCAGGTGGACTCTTCGAGTTTGACCTCGTGGGGGAAATCTCCGTCGATTATGGCCGGCTGGCCTTTGACCCCGCATGTCAGGTGTTTCTTCGTGATCGAGACTGCCACATCCTTCGGTTTTGCCAGAAAGCTGACCTTCAGCGGCACTCGTATCTGGAAAGAAGCGAAATCTCTTAGCACGATCAGCGGCTAAACGCGAAAAGATTTAGCAAGGAGCGATAAAGATTTTGCCACGACCTCGCGATAGGACCTCTAAGAGTTGGAGCAAGTGTCGAGAAAACGAGGCGCGCGTTCCTCAAGGTCCTCCAATTACTGCGTCCATTAATTATTTCTCCGAAAGACCGTTTCCTTTCCCCATGGACCCGGGACCCCGAGGAAGGAAATCGCCCTATCTGCCATCTGGCTTCTGCTCAAGAACAATGGCCTTATTGTGTGCAAAAGGGTAATGAGACTCAGCGACCTCCGCGGAGGTCCGAGGAGACGCGCAACGTCCTTGCCGTGCAACGTCCCCGCTTAGTTTCGACCAAAATGCGATTCCTCGTCGAGATCGAGCTACCAGGACGACGAAAGTACCTTGTCAGGAAGGCTCGACCTTACGGGGCTCCTTTCGAATCCTTGCACCGGCCTCCGCGTCCAATTAAGCACGCTAAGCGTGGTAAAACTCGCGGAAACCAAGATGGCCGCCGCAGTCCGTCGACGAATTCTCCTTAACGATTCATTAAAACTTCACGCCGACGTGCCTTGCATATCGATGGAAGAAGATCACGCGTGCCGGACGTAATAAATTCCGCTGAATGTTCATTCCTTTCGCCGAATTTCCTTCTGCTTTAGGCCGAATTTCGTGGAGACAAGATGGCCGCCGTCTCTTCAGGAGTCGTTAGGAACTGATTGAAATTTGATTTCTTTTCTATGGTTTGGATTCGGTAAGAACTCGTGGGTTAGCGGCGGTAACTCGGGGAACATTCTACGAGGCCGGTTATCTTGGATCGGCGACTTTGGCGAACAATGCGCGTATTATGAGAAGTGTAACAAGGAGACGACCTCGGCGAAGGACCGCGGCGTCCTAGAGATCTCCTAGCGATGTCCCTGCTCGCAGTTGGCGGACCTCCAGGTGCCTTTTTCTCCCCCAACGAGTTGCGACACAGATTTTACAAGTAAAGCTATTCAAATGTTATTCCTGCCGCCATGTTGCCGCAGACCTGCGCATCCCTGGGCTTTTATTTCCGCGCGTTTGTTTGCTGTGGTTTTTCTTCCACGCAGCGAAGGCGCTCTATCAAGCGAGAAAGAAGCCAAGGCGAGGACCTCGAAGATGGGGTTAAGGATGCCGGAGGAATCGTGAGTGTTTTTTGATTTTGGTGAGATCTCGGCTGGTTCGTTTCGAAAAGTCAGGAGACATAAGGCTTGGTCGTGGGAAAAATATGACCACGAAGAGGAGCCTTCAAGTTGGAGGCGAAGGGCAACGGTGTTTTTCAGTTTGGAGGGAATTTCGGTCGTGTGGGCTGCTTTTTTCCGAAAATCACACACGGCTTCGGGGGTGTGTCGCAACTCTGGAGCCGTGAGATCGCTCGTAAAGAGCATCTCCAGTACAGACTGTCTTGGGTTTCCAGCGTGACGGCGAAGCCGGGTGCACCGGTGCGTGGAAACGGATCATGGCTACCAACTTTAACCCAACGTTAACCAAGTGGAATATCATTATTATAGCGATTGCGTCCAAGATACAGCTAAGAGACGAGGCCCGGCAGGGCCTATTCCCTCGCTTCGTCAAGGCGCCGATCACAGAGGCGGCCATTTTCTTTTTCTCTCCTCCACCGTGCGAATTGTTAGTTGGAAATCAATCCTCCCGTTCTTTCCACCGGAAATAATTCTCCGCTTTCCACTCGCAGCTGAAGTTTCGAGGCCACTCGTCCACTCCCACCACCGTTAACTCAGTCCTTTTTCGAGAAATTAATTTTTCTCACTCCTTTGTCATCTCCAGCGTTTTTCCCATATCTGTAGTTCCTTCTTCCTTCTCTAGTCGTCATCGACTCCAAGTCACTCTCCCGGAAATTATGTTAAACCTATAGTTAAACCTCCAAGGCAACTATCCATTTTAAGAAGCGTCGTTTCCATTCCTGATTTTTCCTCTAAATTGACTTTCCACAATTTAATTCGTTAACTTGGTTCTGATTATTTCCGTTGTAGGGCCAGGAAATTATGTTACACCTCCACATTTTAATCCATTTATCCGCGGCGGGTTATTTCCGTTGTAGTGTCCTTTTTTAATGTCAGGAGTCAATTTTTCAGGCGGCTCCTCCCCGGCTTTCTGTCCTCGTGGAATGGTCGGGACTGTTGCACCTGCAGCTGCAGTTTCTGAGGCGATTCGAGGAGAGGCCGAAGAGCGTTGGCGATCGTCGAGCCCGAAGGCTGTTGGCCGGCCCACTCGGCAGAAGTCGATTTATTCGGTGCCTCGTCGTGGATCCTTGATACGCAGGATCGCCGTAAGACGAGTTGTGCAATCGAATAGTTTCTCCGTTACTCACATCGCCAAATACGCATTCCAAAGTGGTCTCCTCCCCCGAAAACCTTCGATCGGCCTTTAGACTTGGCGCAAACAACGAGTCGATCGATCCTCTGCTTCGATTAATCTAATGTAAGGTGGAGCGCGAAGAGCGTCTCGCTTGTGCAGGCGTCGAAGTCTCCGAGCATCGAAGTCTCCGCGACTCCGAAGACCCACCAAGGAAAATCCACTTCATCTGGTTCTCGAAATGACTTAAAACAATTTCTTTCGACTTGAAGAATTCAACACAACGTCAAGATTCTGTCGATTAATCGACGAAAAAGCGCCTCTCTTGTTCAGGCATCGAATTCTCCGCGACTCTGAAAATCCACCAAGGAAAGTCCATTTCATCTAGCCCAGGGAATAATTTAAATCAATTTCTTTTAGCTTGAAAAATTCAACTCCGCATAAAAATTCCGTCGATTGATCGATGTTGGGCCATTTTCGGAGAGTAGTCTTGGTGTAAAGTCGACGTCACGCGTTGAAGTCTCCCCAGCTTTCCTCCAAGGCGCCTCAGGCCCTGACTCTCCATTAGACTATAAGGTCAACGTGATTAATAGACTGGGCTGGACGAACATCCGATTGATTCTTAATTGTTGGCAAGATCGGCGAATTCATCAATTTTTATAGCGTGTTCCGAGCGTCGGATTGCTCAAGAGATAGGTACGTTGCACCGGATTTCAGAAAAATCTCTTAACCCCTATAATAATGGTATTTTGCAACAAGGACGAGTTCGACACTGATGCACTCAACGGGATGATACAGATTATTCCAGGAATTCGCATCAATCTCGAATAGTTTCAGAATGACAAGTTATGGAAATTCCGGGGCTGGCCCCAGGACTCGGAGTGCCAAAAACACGGGACTGATAAAAAAGACCAGACGGTCGATTATTTATAACCGGACAGCGGTTCTTCAAGTTCCTCGTTAAACGTAGCTAAATCACGGAATCCCTCGCCGGGGATAAAATAAGGTATTCGCATTCTTTATTTCCCCAGCTTCTTCTGGGATGTGTGTCGCTCCGTTAAAAATAAACTCGTAAATAAATAAGCGTTTATGTTAATTCCCCGGCTTCGTGGAACGGCGTTAACGTATTCCGCTTCTCTAAACATGTTAATAATGCGGATTACCTACCGGGTGAATAACGAGTAAAGTAACGATAAAAAGCGTCGAGAGAGAAGTAAGGTGCCAAGGTCCTCCTTGTGGCGAGAAGCATAGAGCTCCACGGAATCGGCACCTGTGCAGGTGCAGTTAACTCGTGCTCGCATCTCATTGCACGTGCATGCACCGATGCAGGACGTAACGGGAGATGCAAGGCCTAGATGCACCCAACGCATGCATCGAGGAGCATCCGGCTTTCGGGTGAAGATGGAACGCGGCACGTCACAGGCGAGAGTGGCACTTTCGATGCAACTGCAGTCTTGCACTTTCGTTCCACGTCGATTCCTTCCTCGAACCCCACGCCAGGTCGATGCAATCTCGCAAAGCGGACTGGATTCGATATATCGCAACATAACCTACCCTAACGTCATCCCAGGATCGAGAGTGATGCAACGACCGGTGCTTCCAGAGTGAAGCAACCTCCGAAGAGGCATCAAAGAACCGTTCTCCAGGACGGAGCGATCGTAAGACCCTAGAATTATCGACGCCATGATTGGACGCGACCTTTGGACGCGACATTCGGTGCATGTTTTCGCCGATGCACGCGGCAAACCGTTCTCCAGCGCGAAGAGAAATTCCCCAAGGTCAGGCGAACTGGCCCTCGCGAGGAGTCGCGGCGTCTTTAAGAGTCCGCCATGTTGCCTCGGTGTCCGATTTACGGAGGACCTTAAAGACACCACCAGAACGAGATAAGAGCACGCGGTGACTTAACGAGTCCGAAATAAGTCGAGATAAATCGAAATAATCCGAAATAATCTGAAATGAGCCAAAACAACGAGCGCATCGAAACATCGCAGCGCCGCCATGACGCTTTCCAGAGTCGAGAAGCTCGCCATGGCAATATGGCGGCGCTATTCCGTCGCCTAACCTACCCTAACGCGAAAGATCGGAGGATCGAAAATGATGCAACGACCCGTAGCTCCTGGAATTACGCAATTCTCGAAGCGACACACTCGCCGCGTGTTTTCAATGGCGCAGACGTCGGACCGTTCTCCAGGACGATGAGAAGTTCTCCGAGGTCGCGCCGAGTGGCCCTCGCAAGGCGTCACGGCGACGCCAGGAGGACGCCATGTTGCCCCGAGGAGCAGCTTACCGTAGGACCCGGTAGGACCGGTTCCGCCGAAAATTGGCGCCGGTCCGGCCGCGACCGTAGCGGGTCAAAGAACGGCCTTGCCTCGCCCCCACCGCCATCTTGCGGCGTCCTCGCTCCCTTCCCGCCGTTCTTCGGCGGAAAACAACGCGCGGCGCGCATGCGTGCTACGCCCGCTCGCGCCAACGCGGCGCAGCTTGCGCAACGCGTCCGAGAGCGGCCGCCAAAAGTGAAATCGAGATGGAACGGACCTCGGGATTAACTGGAAATGGGAAGTAAGACCGATCGCCGCTTCGCGGGACATTCCAGAAACTCTCGAGGACCCCCGGGTCCTCCGCGTGACTCGCGGCACGCGCCCACTGCGCA